TGCATGAGTACAATTGTAGTTACACAAAATGTCTTAAAATGTTTAGCAAAGGAGGGTGGACAAATGAAATTAGACAGGTGACCAAAAAAAAAACATTCCCATTAAAATAAGATTTCCAGCAAGTTTTTGGAATGTTGGTTTAATGGCATTTTAACTGTCTAAACAACACAATGCTTTACACAGCTAGGTACCAATGAGTTAAAGACATTTGGAGAGTTTTCCCTAGTGTGAAAGACCCTTAAGTTACTGGAGAGCTGGTCTAGCGACTAGTTTCACTTTTCATTCCAGCTTTAGAGAATGTTTCTCATCAGGTTTCTCCATCCATGCACATAAGCCCTTCCCCTCCTGAGGATGGACAGTACAGGTGAACCCCCTTCAGTTTAAACCAAGTCATTTGGGTCCTCCCTCCAAAGCCATGGATTGAAACGTCATTATTGTTAAAATAAAGAAATTGAAAATTGATAGTCTTATAGATTAGAAAGGTAATTTTGTTGCAATGACATCTTTATTCTATTCTATATCACTCACTCAGCACTATCCATATCTTAATAATCTCTTCTCACTCTAATCTAATAATCTTACTCTAATCAGATAACTTCATTCTTAATTCCATCTCTGAGGAGTATTGATTCACTTATGCATGTTATCTTTCTTTTCATATCACCCCTCTTTCTTTTATAAATCTCAAAATCATTCTCTTTTCACTCATTCACTTATCCAGTTTTATCTTTCATCTTCAAATACATTTGCTGCTTTGTCACACTTCAGTCTCCTATGTTCCCTTTGTACATGTCAGAGAAATGAGCTACAGCTTGTATTTACTAGAGCTATGAATATGGACCAGTATGCAGATGTTTATTTTCACTTGAAACATACATGAAGTTTACTGTAATGCACCTCACAGTACTTGAGCATGATAAAGCACTCTGCTTTAAACTTAAAGATACACTCTCAACAAACAGGATATGCATATTACTTGAAAACTGTTTTAGAGTAAATCTGAGGAACGGATATGCTGCACACTTACATGTATTCACGATCAAGCATTTAATATGTTTACACTTCTACATGTAGTACCGTATCCACAATTAGGGCCAATATTCATCTATAATTCTAATGTTTCAGAAGACATACTGAACAAAAGTTCATGTATTCAAGACTTGTAGCAGCATTGCATACATGTCCGAATCATCTTGACAACCATACTGTAAATTAAATGGGTCCCAAGACACAATAGTAAACAATATTAGAACCATGTTTTTGTGAAAGAATCTACCCTTGATTTCCTCCAACTTTCAACACAAGATTTGTAATATAAGTAAATTGGATTGCAGCAAGGGCTTTTATAGTGCAGTGGGCCTTAGTCCTTTTAATGGCATGGGTTCATATCCCACTGCTGCCATTGTCTTTTGTGTAAAACATGGAAATGATAAATATATTGAATATGGAAATCTATACACACATCATCTTCCTGATTTAGTATCTAAATACTGAAAAGATTACTAAAACTATAATCTTTGTGCATTTAAACTTTCTAGTCTGAAAATAAAAGTCAAATTGGCTTCAGATCATAGACAATCTTTACTGGTATGACGTCACTACAAATGCAATTGCAAATTCTTCCAAAATCGGATCATAGTCAGATTGTAAAGTGTACGAGGACTTTATACATACTATGGTTGGTATGGCTATTGATAATATCATCTAGCTTTCACACTAGAGAATATATAATACAATACCATTGATGATATTGCTCTCAACTATTAATTGCACTGCACTATATTATTTTATGTTGTACAATATATTCTGACATCCCTCAAAGCCAGTGAGTACTACAATAGTAGCTCATGGAACCCAGTTCAATCATAAATCCACAACCATCTTTTATAACATAAAATTATTGTGGGTAGGAGTGGCAATTTGTGGGGAGGGCAGGGCAGGGGGACAATGGCCCTTCCAATGGTTTACAAAATAAAATGCCCAGACAGTTTGTTTTGTTTGTGTTGATGTTGCTTGTCTCCTCATCCTACTGTTACAAATATTTTTTATTGTATTAATTTAATTTTAAGTTGGGGAAGGGGACAATGTAAGATAATTGCCCCAACCCAACACTATGAATCTGGGCTTCATATTCATAAAACCTTATTACGCCTATAGTTGTCAACTAGATATGCATCTTAGTTGATAGATAGCTCAGTAAGGTTTTATGAATATGGGCCCTGGTGAACATCAATGAATACTTCCAGAATATGCCTAATTAATGGGTTGGTCTGCATAAATCATTAATTGCAGCTTTTGTAGCACCTTCTCTATGCTTGATTAGTGAATACAGCCCTTTAAACATTTCTAAAAGTTGAGTGTCCCAGCAAAACAGCAAACCAAAAATATGTTAATGCTGCAAATTTTCCCTAGCTGAAAAGAGCCCATTTCAGATCCGATGGATAATACAAACATTGTATACACCCTACCTTTAAAATACAGCATGCCTGTGCATAAAGACCTGGGCAAATAGCTTGCAGCCAGTTTATGGGGGCTTCACTAGAATCCATAACTAAACATCATGTTGTATACCTAACCAGGTGAAGATTTAGTCTACATTTTCAGACACATGGCCTTCCCTTTCATCAGACCAAAAGCCATCTTCGAAATTTTGTAGAAATATGAGGTAGAGAACAATGTAGAATATAGGCTTAAACTATTTAACTATCTAGATCTAAAGCATTCTCATCATTCATTTATCAGGATCTTTTGAAGGATGTTTCTAAGGCTTAACACATTGTCTACAGGGACCTGGTGCTTCCTGGTTTTAACCTGTGCAAATGTGACAATTCAGTATTCTAAGGGTTAATAACATTTAGAATATATGCAAAGAATCATGCAAGCAAACTTATTGATTTAATAATTGAAGAATGAGGTGTTTAGGGGCATGGGCATGTGCCAAAGCAAAAGGGGAAATCACATAAACCCTCTATTCTGCTCCCTCCCTTACTCCACCTGCCTTTCTCCTATTCCAAGCATTACGTTACCCCCTCCCCCTTCCCTCTCTATCTCCATCCCTCCCCACCCCTTCCAGAGATAATAATGATACCTGATCAATGTCTGAAACATAGAACTAACACATTCAATAGTAAAGCCAGAGAGGATAGCAGCAGCAATACCCCCTCCCCCCAACTCCTTTTTTTTTTGCTTCCCATAAACAATTGACATATTTTACTGTCTGGATAATTCAGTGTCTGCATGTATTTTGGAGCAATTTGCTCCCACATTCACTTGAGCTGCCCCCCCCCCCCCAGGAAATTAACAAAAACATCAACACCTTGTTCTGAACTTGTCTAGGAAAAGGTCCTAATTGTTGCCCTTAGTCTATACTAGGTTATGGCTCTGACACTGAACAAATTAACATTCCTTTAAGCGCATTGTGTATTAAATGATCAGATACATATCAAAGATAAAGTAAATTCATTAAACAGTAAAGCATACAAATATTCTAGTCCTTTTGTAACAGATGAAGAGATTTATAATCCAATTTCAAAATATGAAAATCTGAAGTGTCCAACCAAGCTGGAGATGATGAGAGACAGCTTGAACTTAATCTTCGCTACAATCTGTGCTACAAAGAGAAAGCATAATTGCATTAGGAATCTATATCCTCCTGGTAAATGCTAAAGATATTTTGTTGATGTTGATATTACAATAGCCAATCTTAACTACTTTCTTATGATTTGTTGTCAAATGAAAATAACACATACAACAAGTGATAGGAATATTATCATTTGCTAGTAGAAAAGGACCTGACAATGATTCTTTTCAAACTCATGTGTTTTCATGAAGAATGGTTTGAATCTGTAGAACAAGAGGTCACGTCATCTTTCAATAGTGAGGGGTACTCTCTTTAAAAAAAAGAGTGAATTTTCACTCTATTTTCACTTTCTTGGGAGTGACGTCTGTGATCACTTGTTTAGGAGTGAAAATTGATTGATTTTAGAGTGGTCTCTAAGAAGAAATGAGTGAATGTTCACTCTATTTTCACTACATTTTCAGTCTCTAGAGGAGTGACGTCCGTGATCACTCAATTTTTTTTAGAGAGTAAGGAGAACCTCCTCACTGCCCTATTTCTAATTACTAAGTCAAATTATTTCACTCCTACATGGATTGTTCCATTGACATGGTTGTTCTAACATGGTTATGCTTATTGTTTGTGTTAACCCTACATAGGACCCTACACATCTTTTATTGAGTCTAACAAACAAGGTCATGATTAACTCAACAAATGCTCATGTCACTCAGGAATAGTCTGTTATCAAGACTTGTCTACCTTCATCCAAACATATCAATTTACTGTCCCCATTATACCACTGTATGAGTATATCTAAGTAAAACTACCGGTAATGGATATATTGATATAAACTAACTGGTCCTGTCATTACTCATCTACCATAATTAATATTTAATTATCCTGTTGCCATGGAATTTGTAAAAGTTTTAGAGTAAGCCTAGAGAGCATGACCTATAGTCAAAGGATACAGTGTCATCATACCATCTTTGGCAATAATTATCATTCCAATCAACCCATCCTCTAAAATGATATCATAACAATTAATAAATGTATGCTTCCCAGTGATATAAATCACTTAATGCTTGGCATTTAGCATTTTAAAAATCAAATATATATGTATATATGGAGAAGAAAAAAAAATATGTCTCTCTGATATGACAGAAATTGCTGTTGAAATCTGCAAAAAAAAAAAGTTCATTTAGGCATACCAACAGGTTATTTAATACTGACTGAAAAGTCAAATCTCTTGAACAGCATGCTTCCTCGGAATACGTGATCAGGATGAAGAGAATTTTTTTTTAATCTCCATTGTCTCCACGTCAATGTATTTGTAATTATAGATACACATGTATCACACCCCTCTCATCTGGTATTGCGTTTCTGTGTGATGACCCGCTTCAGTCAATATGAAACAACACATCATATGTCATGACAGATAACTTACTTTTTGCCTCTGGTTTGGATATCTCGTTCTCCGATGCTCTCTGTTATCCTGAGCCCATTATGGAACCATTTAACGGCGGGTTTCGGGTGTCCCAGTACAGCACATTCCAGGCTAAAACACTCGCCTTCTTTGACCCGCTTGTCGCCGATATGCCTCTGGAAGATCGGTGGACAAGTCTCCTCGGGTGACTTGAGCGACAGCTGGCGGGTCGGCTTGGCTCGGGCCTTCTGTAGGCCGCTCTTTTCGGGGGCTGCTCCTACCAAGATATAAAACAAAGCAAGTAATAAGGACGCAAAGCGAGAACACGTTGTCTTTCTTCTACCGGTTCATCACCTTGCTACCATCCCCATGCGGTTAAAGGTTTTAATGACTTGCAGATGCATTCATTTCTTCCCTTGGAATCTGTCCAGCTACGGCTGTTGAAAACTTCACCTCGACATCGATTAAATTCTGGACAACAAACCGCAAAATTTCGGCACGCGTGGTACTTGTCCTCATAACTCTCGTCGCTTGATGACGAAAATGGAAAACATCCCAAATTGGGGAATGCCCGAATATTTGATAGTCTTTGTAAACAAACCATTTTCCTCCTAGATAATGTTTTTTTTTTTAATACATGCCTAATCATTCCACCGGATTTTGTTGTTGAAGATGCGGCAGTGGTTGTAATAAATTTCCTGAAAAAAATATGGTAATCGTCTTATGTTGAGGAGATGTTCAATACTAGGATGTCCAATACTAGGCCCAATTTAGATGGTTTTACGGCCATTGACCTTTTTGATGTTTAGGTACCTTTAAATGTATAGACCAGTTTTGGAAACGCCCCCCCCCCCCCATCTCAAAAAATGAAATGGAAGCTCTTATTACCAATCATGTGAAAAAAAATGTTTTGACTAGTACGTGATGATACAAATTTTGCACTTCAACAAGTTGAACATTTGGGCATATATTTCTGCTTTTTTTTGCGAATTTAGGTTGAAGCATTGCCATCTAAACCTCTAAAGGCAATATTTAAACAATATTGAATGGATATTTTGCACCCAAACCCCTTTTTCCTAGACAAGTTCAGAAGGAGTTGTTGTTTTTGTTGTTTTTGCTCCAATGCTCCAAAATACATGCAGACACTGAATTATATGTAAATTGTTTATGGGAAGCAAATAAAAACAAAGGGGGTGGGGATATTGCTGCCCCTATCCTCTCTGGCTATGCTATTGAAGTCTCAACGAGGCCTACTTCTATTTTAGAGGTCAACAATTATATATATATATATATATATATATATATAGGAACTAGAATATATATATATATATATATTTCTGAGAATTCAAGAGCCAGTTGACCGTCCAATTGATTGGATTGTAATCATGATGGGGTAATGTGGTTGACGTTCGCTTCCGATATGACGTACATAAGAATGTCACCTTAAATAATTAACGATCTAGTAGGCGAGATGTGTTCTTGACAGGTATGGCGTGGGTTTAGACATTGAGAGGGCACCGGCATTGTAGGTAATATGGGGGCCTCTGTCTTAATTGTGGAATTAATAGGAAATAATCAAGTTCCTTAAATAGGGAGGGGTAATAGCTTCTTAATTTCACTATTCAGTCTACCCCTCCATCAATCCACCCCTCCCTCCATTTCGTCATTTCGTAGTTTGGTGGGTCTTCCTGCCCATTCCTGTAGCTATACAACCAAAGTGTTGATTAAAAGTGGTGGATTATGGACTTGGAAATAGGAGAGGGGAGCAGCTCGTGAATGCCAAACTCTGCAAATTTATAACAAAGAGTGTAGGCCCCAGTAAGGGCGAAGAAAGATCGAGGCGTACGTGTCGCGACACCGTCTTTAATAATTAATCCGCTGTCGCCATCGTGATCGGCGGTTTGTGTCGTTAATTTATTCTCGTTTGCAATAAAGTTGTTTATATCGGATAAAGAGAGTTAGTTGTCGAATCGACTTAAGAGCTATAGAGCCAGTAAGTAATACTCTGATTTTCATACCATTGTACCGAATGGTCGTATGTTTTATGCTGCGCAAAGATTCAATCAGTTTAAATTTGGCCATTACAAGAAATGGGTTATTGATGTAGACAAATGCTCATGTACCTTTACAGCTCATTTTGTGTATGTTATTACCAGAGAAGAAAAAAAAGCCAGTCAGTCACTCAATAGTGTCTGACAGTGAAGTCTAGCAAGTAGACGGGTTTCCTTGCATAATTTGAATATTAGGACACTGCTAGCGATTACATTTCACTGATAGGACATACATAACAAGTCATATTCATAATTCCTGCAAAGTTCTACATAATTTGATGTTGGCTGCAAAAGGGACGTAGTATCTTTAACGTAAATATATACATATCTGATTGTGTTCTTACCATCTTATCATAGTTTGAGTTTGAGTTTATTTTATTTATACACGGTAAAAGCCCGAAACAGTTCGCAGACTGGTTTCAATCAGGGCCGTGTCGATAAAAAACAACATAATCATGACATATAAACAAAAGTAATATAACACTGACAGATTCACAACCATAACACGACAATAATAGGAAATAAGCTAAAAACACTTTACTTAATTAGAACTATATTGGTAGACCCAAAAGATAAACAATTAAATAAGTTACATATATGATCATCATAATCTGTTTGCATATTTATATATATATATATATATATATATATATATATATATATATATATATATATATATATATATATATATATATATATATATATAAAGTAAAAACAAAAAGAAGTTTAACAAGATTATAAATAAGTTAAAAACATATTATGTATTCATGTTAAATATTAAATAATCAAACTTTAAAACAATAAACAAAAGAAAACACACATAATGTAGAATGTGTAATAATTGTGAAATTAAGACAAATGCGTATTTCATACTAGAAGTAAAATGAAGTATGGAATAATAATAAATACTTAAGAGCATTATGAATATGGATCAGTTAAATACTACATATATAATTGTTTTTGTTTTTAAAGAGACAAAAACTGATAACGTATTGCAAAGATCATATTGCACACGAATAGACATTTAAAACATATTGCGTAGGAGTAATATAACATAAATAACAATGATAAATAGGTTGAAATTATGAGATAAAAATTGTATACAACTATAAAACCTTAACAACAAACAACAACAAAGCTCTCTTAAACTAATAAGTTAGCCCCTCCCCACACACTTATTTCGTATTACGTCAGCTTTGCCTTAAAAATATTTAACGATTTAGCACCTTGTACTTCATGTGGCAAGTTATTCCATGTTAAGGCCCCTCTATATTTAAAAGATCTTTTCATAGTCTCAGTCTTTGGTCTTATTGTTTTCACATTATACAGACTTGAACGTGTATTGTATGTATGGTCAGCAAATATAAACCTTTCTACTAAATACTCAGGAGCTTGTTTTGAGACAATCTTATACATCATAATTGCTACATTCTTTGTTCTATTATTGTCAAGTGTATTCCAATTTAGTCTTGTTAAATTTTCATCTGATGAGGAATACCAAGAGGACCTATTGATTATTCGAGCTGCTCTATTCTGGATTTTTTGTAATTTGTTTTTCTTTGTACTTCCACATCCACCCCATACTACATCACAATAATTTAAGTGAGACAATACTAGTGAATTATAAACCAATTTCATTTCATATTCATTTACTATAATTTCAGCATATATAATCCGTTACTTGCTTTTTTATGAATAGTATTAATATGTTCTTGCCATGATAACCTTTCATCTAAAATTAGCCCAAGGTGTCTACACTTACTAACTCGAGTTAACACAGTATTGTCTATAGTAATGTTTAAATCATTATCTTTAACTTTATCCAGACGTTGCTTCGTACCGAATACAATGTATTCAGTTTTCTTTATATTCAAATTTAGTTTGTTTTGTATCAACCACTTTTTAACATATTCTAGGTCTTCATTAATCTTCTCACTCAATTCTATGGTATCATTTGCCGAACAATATATTACCGTATCATCAGCATACATGCTTACTTTACAGTGGGTGAGGCCACGCGGCAAATCATTAACATGTAATATGAAGAGCAGGGGTCCTAAAATGGATCCTTGGGGAATTCCACATTCAACTGGCAAAAAATCTGACAGTAACTCGAGAGGTGTAATATTTTATTCCATGCCTCCGTCCAGTAGCATTTGTACATGTTACCCCCCCCCCCCCCCCTGTCCCTCAAATGGGGGAAAGGGCGACAAAACATAGGGAAATGAAAAATAGAGAACAAAATAAATAGAGTAAGATGTTAAGGGGATAGGGGAAAGTATATGATATGACTACCCTATCCAATACGACATTCAATCGACCGAGTAAGAACGATAAAACTTGATATCAATAACATTATTGATAACTGTTTAAGCTAATGAAATCATCGCATTTGATTGGCTAAAGGCAAATTTGTCATATAATTTTAGCATTTTGTATTGATGTACATAACCGCGGTATGACATATACTGTACTAAAAGAAATATGACAAGGGGTGGGAGAAAAGCTAATGGCAAACAAAAGGAAAGTAAATGGTAAATAATGGTATAGTAGAAGCAGAATAATTAAGCTCGTCGTCTGCGTTCATTCTGTATCTTGGGGTCCTGTATCTAGCATCATCAAGCAAATCTATGTACAGATGTAACATTACCAACATTAAGCTATTGGGGGCGCTCATTCTGTACTCCTACCGATGAAAGTAAACGAACAATATTTGCTGAACATTTCGCTGTTGAATAAAGCAGCTAGTCACGTTTGTTGCTCTAGGCAGACCCCGCGGAACCTTTTTTTTTCAAATGGGGGGGGGGGGGGGTAAAATTACGATCAGGTAGAGCGTGAATAGCGAGCGGAGCGTAAGGCATGGGTTCCTGGGTGCATGCATAGCCCCCTGAATTAAGCTCAGTAGGTGCAGACATTCAATAACGGTCAGATAAGCATATTTTTATACTTATTTATAGATTGAAAAAAAAAAATGACTGACAGTAACTGTTGTTTTCGACCTGCGCATCTGTATAACTGAATGGAGTTTTTAAAGCCAGATTCTGGCGATAAAGTGTGTAATTTTCTGAAAAAACTAGGCTTTTACGATCGCTTTTACGGAACTGATTTTATGAATCTACAAACTGCCGAATTCAGAGGCTTTGCCGACATGCTTTACAATGCCTCCGTTTTTCTTCTTCTCGCATTTGCTATTTTTTAGCCTTTTTTCCCCAGCTGAATTAGGTTAGCTAATTTGCGCTTTTAGGGTAATGTGGTGTTGTATATTTAGCAGGATTTTTTTTCTCGGAGCCTTGCTTGGCACCCTCATTATTTGCTTGGGACCCCCCCCCCCCCCTCCCCCATTTTTCGTTCTTCTGCCAGCTCAGGGGTCACTAGGGTCCTCTGAGATTTTTGACCCAGTGTGACCCTTGATATAGAGGTCCTATATAATTATGTATAAAAGTTTA